ATGGTGGCACCACTATTTCAGAGGAGGAAGACCTAGCGACTACTCCCCAAATAAACACCGCAATAGTACTAAGGAAGCTACAGAGACTCATACCTGGGAAGTCCCCAGGTTGTGATGACATCAGGCCATCTGTTCTGAAACAGTGCGCCGAGGCTCTCTGTAGACCCCTGTGCGACTTGTTCCAACACTCAATGGATTCGGGGACCCTGCCAAGGGAGTGGAAAAGAGCCATCCTTTCTCCGATCTTCAAGGGTGGGGACAGGCAAAACGCTGCTAGCTATAGACCAGTAGCTCTACTCCCAGTGGTATCAAAAGTACTGGAAAGTATTATTGACGACCACATCAGGGAATATTTCGATAGGACTAATATACTGCATGAAGCCCAACATGGTTTCAGAAAAGGCAGATCCTGCGTCACTAACCTACTGTCAGCTTGGGACGACTGGACATCATGCTGGGACTTGAACGTACCAGTCCATGTGGTCTTCCTAGACTTTGAGAAGGCGTTTGACACTGTTCACCATGACCTTCTCCTACATAAAATAAGTCAGGCAGGCATAGGTGAGCCACTTCTATCATGGTTAAAGGACTACCTAGCCGACAGGCAATTTTGCACTAAGGTTAACCGAGTCCGATCATCTTGGCACAGATCGTCATCAGGAGTGTCGCAGGGTTCTATCCTAGGACCACTGATGTTCTTGATTTTCATCAATGATCTACCACGCCGTCTGAGCTGCCCGACTCTCCTGTACGCTGACGACGTAAAAATATGGAGGGCGATAAAGTGTCCGGAGGACTCAGATAGGCTACAGGAAGACCTAAACCTTCTGGAAGACTGGGCGGTGGCCAGTGGCATGACTTTCAACTTGAAAAAGTGCAAAGTAGTGAAGTTGCGCACCTGTAGACTGCAGAATGCAAGTTACACCCTGTGCAATGAAAGCTTGTCCTGCACAACGTCGGAACGCGACTTAGGTCTAGTTCTAACGGAAAAAATGGACACAAGCGTAAATTACACAGGGGATGTAGCGAGGGCATATGCGGTCATACACTTTACGCATAGACAGTTAGGTGCACTCACTCCTGAGCTCTTTCTAATGTTGTACAAAACATACGTCAGGCCACACCTTGAGGTGCATAATATTATTGCACCCCCAATGCTGAGAAGAGATGCCAACCTCTTGGAGAGAGTCCAACGACGGGCAACAAAAGGAGTGGTTGGTCTCCGAAACAAACCATATGATGAAAGGCTGAAGAAATTAGGCCTGTTCACACTTAGTTACCGTCGGCTTAGGGGGGATTTGATTACTGCCTACAAAATAACAAATGACCAGAATCACCCAAACAAAGGTGTTCTGCCATTGAGTAGGTATAGGCTTCCACGTGGAAATCCCAGAAGGATAGCTCACCAGAGGGCAAGGACCCGGGTGCGCTCCCACTTCTTTTCACTGCGGGTTTGTCGTCCCTGGAATTCCTTACCGGCAGATGTAGCTATGGCACCGTCTTTGGACGCCTTTAAGCGAAGGCTGGACAACCATGCAGCTATACAAGGACTGCATCCAAATGGCCTATCTCCTTAAAATCGCATTTACCAATCAGGGTAGATAATTAAACTCGTCATTTTACTTCTTTACATTCTCTCCCGTCTTACTCTCCTGACAACTTATTAATATTATAATTACTATTATTATTATTACTATTACCGATATATATATTATTCTTCAAACTTCATGAGCTGACTGTTGTTACGTTTCCTATTTTCGTTTCTGTCTCTTAGTCTGAATAGCTTCACTAATTATATCTATTATTATTATTATTACTATTATTATTATTATTATTACTATCTCTTTTCTCTTGTCGACAATACCGAAGGACTAACTGGCGAAAGGATCAACTCCAATCACAGTAGTAACAGTCTTAACATACCTCATACTACAAACCACATATAATTAATCCCAGCACTACTCCCTTTGGAGTCAACCAAAGCTACGACAGTCGAGTGGCGGGACAAGCTACGCAGAAGTTTACCGAAGATCAAGAACCTATACCTCACAATCAAGAGGCGAGCACAAAGAAATCAAATTGGTTTATACTAGCTCGTAAAAACGATATTGGATATTGGATATTGGAACTCATGATGGTATATATAAAAGCCACGGGGGATTTCAGTGTCTGCACAAATCTCTGTCACCCTATGGCATTCATGGTAGCTTTAATGACTTGAAGCTTGTCAAGGAAGTGTGAAACAGTGGGACACCACATCGTACGATGCACTTGAAAGCCACATTGGTGTTATTCCACGGTGTTATGAACCGCTTTCTTGCGTGTGTGCGCTGGTTAATTATGCTACCTGGTTGTCTAAACTTCGTATTAGGTCGTGTGGAATTCGAACTAGGCCCATTCATTGAAAGCTGAGTAAATGGTCCACTCCACCAAAACCCACGGGCTCAGCCGGGAGTCGAACCCGGGACCACTCGCACCCGAAGCGAGTATCATACCCCTAGACCACTGAGCCGTGAGGTATGGTCATTCACTCAATTACTGATTCATGTAGATTGCTATCCTCATATCTTATCGTGACGTAGTCTACTTCTCTTCGTCAGTGTATTCATTCAGGGAGCTCCAAGTGAGACATATTAGTAGTTCTACAAGATTACATAAACTTATATATCAGTAACAGTAAAGAATAGGCACCAATTTCAGACGACCTTGAAACAACCAATCAAATTCTTCCAGGGGTAAAATGGTACTTAATTTACTAAGTGTATCTATGACATATATGTAATAAAAATGAATCAGATGGGGTATATATCTCTAATATGCTGCAAAAACTGATCCCAGATTCTCATAGCAGTGGTCATAGACGTATCAAACCAATGTATTCTCTATATTTCCAGCTGTAGCAGATACTGGTTGCATATACGCAATATATTACTAAGGGACAGCCTTGATTTCAAGAAGAAAGCGTCGAAAAACATGGTATCAGTAAGGAATAAACACCAGAGTCAAATGGCCTTGAATCAACCGAATCAAGATAGCTCGACATTACATATGGATTTTGTTCATAATCATCTTCGTTGCAAGTTTCATCCAGATGTTTTAATACCATTAATACAACGACTAATCCGCCCTAGGAACAGCCATTCATATACTTGAGTGGGAAGATTATTCACAACTATCATCATTAAACTATGTTCATCATAAATCTTATAAGTGGAACTCATACATATTCTGTTGAAGGATTCTGGGTCCATCTAAAAATAGAACGTTTTATAATGGTAAATGGCTCCCTATATAATATGATATACAGCCACTTGGATGAATTTTTGTATCAACATTTGTTTGATATGTCTATAGAGACGCCTATGAGAAACTGAGGTCAGGTTTTACAGCATCTTAGAGATTATAATTATATTAATTATTTCCTTTAATTCCTAGGGGAACATAGGGCTTCAGCCACACACATCTCCAATGCGTTCGGTTCTCTGCTAGAGTTTTCACCTGGCTCCAAGTCTGCCCACACGCTTTCATCTCCTCTTCACATGACCTCCTTCATTTCACCCTCGCGCTGACGACCAACTCGCCGCTTCCCTTTCGGGTAACACTCGAGCAATGGCTTGTCTAGTGATTTCACTTGATGGTTGTTTCCTCAGAGTATGGCCAATCCACCTCTATTTCTTCCTGCTTATTTGTTGCACAATCGATTCCTGTTCCGTTGGTTCGCTCATTTCCAGAGATCCCTGTTGCTGATCTTTTCTAGCCGGCCATCTGATCTTAAGTATTGAGCGAAGGCAGCTGTTAATGAAGGTCTGAAGTTTGTTTGAAATGCTCTTTATGACGCGCCAAGTCGCTGATCCGTATAGTAGCACTGACTGACTTCACATTGGAGTTGAAAATCCGGATCTTATTCTCATTTTCATGCTGAGTTCTGTTGATCTTTGCACAGACTTAAGAGCAATGAAGGCTTGTCTTGCTTTCCGATTCTGGCTTTGATATCCTCGTCAGTTCCGCCTGTAGTTGAAACGATGCTTCCCAGGTAGGTGAAGGAGGCTGTTTCTTTCAGGTTCCTCCCATTTATGCTGATTGTTGTCTGTTGTTGTTGTTGTTGTTGATGTTGGCTAAAAATCTTCATCACCCCTGTTTTATCTATGTTCACTTGAAGTCCTACCTTTGATGCTTCTTCTGCCAACTTGTTGCTTTTGACTTGCATATCTTCCAGTTTGTGGGAAATCAGACATATATCATCGGCGAAGTCCAGATCCTCCAAGTCTTTTGTGTGAGTCCATTTTTATAACTGTTTCCTCATTCCCGTTGTCTGTCTGTCGCATTATCCAATCTACTGCAATCAGGAAGATCATTGGTGATAGTAGACAGCCTTGTCTCACTCCCGTCTTCACTTCTAAGGATACCTTGAGTTTCCCGTTGTGTATTATTTGGCATGCGGCATTGTCGTATAACTGTTGGATGAGATGTGCAATTGTCGATGGCATCATCTTAGAGATATATACACTGTATAATCCAGTGGTTAAGTATATATATATATATATATATATATATATATATATATCTTATTAAGACATCTTTTTTAAAAGTAAATACCACTTTTCACTTGGAAGAATATAATTGTTAGATTCAAGGTCACTTGATCTTGGTGTCTGTTCTTCACTGTTGCTGAAAAAAAATAACCACTTACGTACCACTCACTCTTTGGTGTGTCTACCTAATCGGACAAATGTGTGAACAAAAAAAGGCTATTTTTAGGAAAACGTGGGAAAAATGGGTGCATTTTATTTCAAAAGGGGTAAAAATCCGATCATGGAAAATTTTATTGTACACAGTAGGTTACTGATAAATTGTAAGTAGTTAAATTTTATTGAAGAAAAACGCATCAGTTAATGATGCAAACCATATGTATTGTTTACTCTTGCCATCAGTTTATCACAGCTCAAATACATGAAATGCGCTTTTGTTCACTTATTGGTTGAATTGTTTTTTCTCCCCAGCAAGATGATGGTGATCAAATTGTTGTCTGTTCATGGGATGGTGCAACATACATATTTGATTTAAATAATAATTCAGTATGCTTCCCATTAGGACAATCATGTCAAGCATTTATTGCTGGTGTATACGCTGTAGAAGCTGGTGTCAATGTACCAGTGTTAATCTATTCAACATTTGATCAAGCTATTCGTATTTATTATAATTTACATTTGAATTATATTGCTGCACAAAGTTTGCATAGTACAATATTAACAGATCAATTATTAGTAGAGAAGTTACAAAAGAAACATGTTGATCGTAAGTTATTCTATGTGACTATGTGAAGGTGTGTGTGTGTGTGTGTGTATGTTTAGTTTGAGTCGTTAAAGGCATTGATTGATAAGATGGAACATCAACAACAACAACAACAACAGTTTTGGTGTGTTGTTGGTTCCGTTATTATTATGAATAATATTAATATTCGCTTAGGAGGCTGCGAGTGGGGAACATTGGGGTTCACCCTGCTCTCTGCAGCCGTCTTTAGCTGGCTCCACAATTTTTATGAGCCCTCATATCCCCACATGATGTCCTCCATGTCACAGTTGGAAATCCAGCTCGTCCTTTCCCATTCGGGTTCCACTCGAGGACTTGGCACGTTATTTTCTATATTGTTCTTGATTGTAGCTTGATTCCATATCGTATTTTTGGTACAAGTATGGGATTTTCAGCATGTGATATCGGTAGCCAAAACTTTGCCGGCCAACCAATTTATATCAGGTGTGCGTCGGCAGGGACCCCGGACTGTGTGCATGGTCGGTGAGAGTCCTAACCGCTGTGCCACCGACGCACAAACTGGAAGCGGTCTCTACGCTCCGACCAGGCTGTCACATGGCCACCATTCACAGTCGCTATATCCTGTTACCGCACCGCACGGGTACTTTTGCGTGCTGGGTCTCCCCCTGGGACGGTCCTCCCCTCCTTAGTCGACTTCGACAACCCGTCTAACCGGTCATCCATACCGGCGCCGTGCTAAGCGTGACGCTCGATCAACATGAGCACTCATATGCCAGAACTCCCGGTCCCGTAAAATTGCGTATTCCGGCCTCCAAGTAGCTGAATTACAGGCGCTTGACGGTCCCCCTTACCCTAGCGTGTTTCCAATCTATCTCCATTTTTATCGGCATATTCAATGGGTTCTTTGTTCCTAATCCTTTCTGATTAGCCATCAGAACTTCAGTATGGAGCGAAAGCCTGCGCTCTATTTCCCGTGTAAAGTGGCATAATAAGGTGAGCAACATTGAGGTTAGGCGTAGAGTTCTAGGTAAACAGGGGAAATCTATCGACGAAGTCGTGAAGCTACAAAGACTGAGATGGTTAGGACATGTGTTACGTATGCCAAGCCATCGCCTCCCTCGACGAGCAATGTTAGCGGATATAGGGTCAGGCTGGAAAAAAGCTAGCGGCGGTCAAACAAAAACTTGGCTTACCAGTCAATGAAATCCACAACAGTTGGTCTAAGCCACGTAGGAAGGTGTAGACTTCCTGACTGGTTGGGGTCCTCGGGACGGTAAAAATCTATGGTTGGAAACAATTGGTGACATGGCTCAAAATCGTTCTCAGTGGCGCAGATGCATCCACTCCTTGTGACTTATGATCTCCAATGAAACTGTTTTGTTCTTCGTTATTACTCCTCCTTTGTCTCACCCCTCTGCTCACAGTTTCTATTATGCTTTTCTTATACTTTCTTCTCTTGCTTCGCGTGCTACACGGAGTGTGGCGACTTGAACTGGTGCACATTTGTGCAAAGTTCTATGTCGAAAACAGACAGACAGACAGATGGAGCGAAAGCATCTGTTGACAAAGGTCTACAGTGGCCTGTTGGAAGTCCTTTTGGTGACTTACCAAGTCTCTGAATTATATAGAAGCATGGACTTGACATTAGTGTTTGAAAATTCCAATCTTGTTCTTTATGCTTAGTACGGTGGACATCCAGACTGATTTCGGAGCAATGAACGTCTGTCTTGCCTTCCTATACTGTCTATGACGTAATAATAATAATAATAGCTTCATCATTCTGGAAATTGCGTTTATTCACAGTACAGATTTTTTCAGAAAATTTCATTGTGAAATATTCAATCCGTGTGCGGAGTCTTCAAATAGTATAATAATCGATATTATATCATTTGAAGCAATGTTTTTCCATGTGAAGCATGCTCTAATAATACTCCACTTCCATGAGTTTGTATGTAGGGGTTTGATTTTTTCACGTTTGAGATCATGAATTTTTATCAGCTGGACAGCTGCTTTCATCCTAGTTTGGGACCTGAGACCCAATGGTCCATGAATTCTAACTTCCATCATTTTGTGATTTTACCGTGACCACTATAGCCGCCAAATGGTCTATGAGCTTGCCTTATAACCGGAATATGTTGGATTTGAAATCCAGTGGGTGCATACTGCCATTGGGTGCCACACTATAAGCTAAACAGTTGTCCAGTACTCCCTGGCTTTCAACGATTTTCTGACTACTCCATTCGCCTTGACACAAACTCCTATCGATATGTAGAAACATTATTTCAAATTGTTTGTGAGTATAGATCACTATTCATTGTGGTAACGAGATAATTAAAGAAGTATGATATGATTTAAGTAGGCCACCGTAGTCTTGTAGGACATCTTCGCCTGTAGTTGACACGATGCTGTCTAGATAACCCACGAATTCCTCCCAATGATGTGTGTCGGTGGCACAGTGGTTAGGACTCTCGCCGACCATGCACATGGTCCGGGGTTCGAGCCCGCACCGACGCACACCTGATATCTATGGTCGGCCTGCAAAATTTGGGCTACCGATATCCATGCTGAAAATTCCATACTTGTACCAAAAATACAGTGTGGAATCAAGCTGTAAATCAAAAAAAAAAAATAGATAACCCACGAATTCCTCCCAATGATGGTTAGTACTGGTTGTTGTTATTGTAGTCGTCGGTTAGGTATCTTCATCATATCACCACCCTACTGTGTTACAGATGTACTCATACTGTATTTAGAAACCATTTTGTATTCGTTTTATTGCTCATGATTTCTGCTTCTTGTTACTCCTTTTGTAGGCTTCTCTTTTAATGCTCAGACTTATGATAACTGGTACTGTTAAATGGTAACATCAGGGTATTATTTTGATAATCACTCTCCACAATGAGTAAGAGTATTTCGTTAAGCTTCTCGGCAAAGTTAAACTTTCGACACCACTAACAACCAATCAGCAAACGACCTCGAACGGACCAATCATATTAAAGAGGCATATATGATGAATGGAAATGTATATTTGTAGAAAAAAGCATAAAATAGAGAATAAAAAAGTTACATGGGGTATCTTTCTCGAACATGTGAGAGAAACATCTCCCAGTTTAGCATGGGACTGCCAATGGAGAAGTTACACCATATCCTGTACATATATTCATCCAAATGACCATAAATGAGATCCTTTTGAGATCCATTTATAGCCCTTATCCTATTTTTCAACCTGCCCCAAAATCCTTCAATAGAATTTGTATGTGTCCTCGTAACGGGATCCACAAAATCACTTGAATGGTTGACTCTATGATGAATATATCCCAGAGATGACAGTGAATTGTAGCCTTTCCACTCGTCGGTGTGTATAATTGACCCCCGCTTAACAAGTCTGGTAATAATAGGTATAAGAGTAGTTGCTTTTCTATCTGCTATCCTTAGGGAGAGAAGCGACCTAGCGAAAAAAGTTCCTACGAAATATTAAAATTATCAGCTTACTCTCTCTAGCGTTAGTAGGCTTCAAACATATAGCACAAAGATGAACAAACCCATCAGTTGATTTGGTTTAGCTTTTTGAAGTCATGATACCACCACACAATCAAATTCGTTCTTTCCGGAGCAACTGAAATCTAGGAAATACTGGGAAACACTAACCTCCTCGAATTGCAACAACAGCCTTGTAAGGTCACGCATTAGAAATGAATCAGGCGCTATACAACACTGAACTGCGTTCGTGAACCTCATTGGATAATTCGACATCGTTCGTGAATCTCATTGGATAATTCGCTGATTGGTAGTTAGTGGTGTCGAAAGTTTAACTTCGCCAGCTTCTCTTTTAATGCTTGTTGATATCGATTAAGATTATTAGCACATGTGTTGCGATACATGCGAATCCATTGCCACCCCCTCCCCGCCCACGTCAATTAATGTTGAGCAATAGAAGAGTAAGTTGAAATGAAGATTAGGGATGGTTAACATGAAACATACTATCAATCTACAAAGTCTTGGATTGATGGTTTTAATCAAATAGGAAGGTGTACAATGTCTATCCGGGGTACTCGAGGTGCCAAGAATCATTGGCTGTAGACTGACTGTCGGTGACATGGCTCATTGATGTTCTGTTCCCCCCAGAGCCATTGAATTCTTACCATTCTCACCCACTCTCCCATTCACTATAATTTCTTTTTTTCCTAATTTTTATGGTTACTTTTATAATGTATGATAGCTTAAACTGCTACGTTGAAAATCTCGTCATTGAGTTATACTTGTTGGCATTTGTCAGCAAAGTGTATATCTGCATAAGAGGGAATCAGTCGACCGCTGCGTACCTTGTTTACTACACCATCTCTGGCTTAGCAGACGTGATATGCAGCCGGTTGTCAACTAAAGGGCGTGTGTACTGCTCATCAGTCCGCTCCGTCCTCCTTTATGGCTGTCAGTGAGACCTGGCCATTGAGAGTGGAGGATATGAAAAGCCTGGCTAGCTGTCTTTGATCATAGGTGTGTGCGTTCTGTCTCCCGTGTGAAATGATATAATAGGGTGAGCAATATTGAAGTTAGGCGTCGAGTGCTAGGTGAGGAGGGGAAATCAGTCGACGAGACTGTGAAGCTACATTAATTCAGATGGTTAGGACATGTGTTACGCATGCGTGCCTAGCTATCGCCTTCCTCGACCGACGGGGATGTTAGCTGACTGAAATAGGGTCAGGTTGGAAAAGAGTTAGCCAGTGGTGGTCAAACCAAAACATGGCTTCATCAGTCGAGGAAACCCACAACAGTTAGTTTAAGCCAGCCAGTCACATAGGGAGATGTAGACTTCCTGACTGACTGACTGGTTGGGTTCCTCAGGATGGTAAACACCAATGTAGGCTGGAGACAATTGTTGATATGGTTCAAAGCTATTGTTCTCAATGGCTAACGCAGATGCATCCACTCCTTGTGACTTATAATACCCAATAAAACTATATTGTTCTTCAATATTACTGTTTCTTTTTGCCTCATATCTCTGTTTAATGTCTCTCTTTTGCATTTCTTCTTACTTTCTTCTCTGACTTTGTGTGCTGAGTGAAGTGTGGTGACTCGAACTGGTGCACATCGGTGAGGAGTTCTATGTTGAAACCAGTAGATCAGTCAGTCAGACTGCATACTTTACTGGCTAATCTTTGACTCCTAAACTTTATGAAAGATATTCAAATCTCCAAGGAAGTATTAGTCTCCAAAGAGAGTTGGATAATTACCTTATGGTTCCCTGTCAACAAACACAGTCCAAGTCAAGTAGGTTTCCTTTATGACCCACTTATTTCATCGAATAGGTTACGCTTCATTGTCATTCATTAAACGTACACTCAGTCATATGTTTAATATTGATTCTCGGGGTGAGGGTGGGGGGGGGGGCTGCGGATCTACACTGACCACTTTGTTCTACCTTACATGTGTTTCCGTGTATATAAAAGAATATTGCATAATCGGTTATTACGTTTTGAGTAGTACCTTCTTCAATGACTGGTAATTAGACAATGGATTTTATTCAAATTTCTATATTTCACATTATTTGTTCAAAGCTGGAAGCGGAGAAACATTGCTTATCTAGAGTTCTATTCTCCATGTTATTCATCAGTAGTTAAGTATATATATCTTCTTCTTACAGTTCACCCTTATTCTTTCCTGGTTTGCTTAAAAAAGACTATGTTACAATTCGTAGAATGCTGAAGACTGTCAGTAGGGTGAGTGGTGTGTCCCAGTGGACCACATAGTTAACATCGTTGTCGATAGGCACTTGACTTTGTACAATAAATTTGCTAGAGGGATTTTGTCTGACTTGGAGCATCCACTTAACCCTCAGCTTTCACCTTGCATCTATCTCCTCAGGTAGAACAAGGAGTAACTTCAGAAAACTGTATGCTCACACGTCTAAGTATAGAAATTCTATGATACCATACTGGGCACGTATTTTATGTGATGAAAATAGCGTCAGGCAAGAAATAACTAACCTTTCTTCATCTAGTAAATAAACAATTTCCTCCATCCATCCATCTTTATATACCTTCAAGTTTTATTTTATTATTATTTCTATTATATTTATGGTCCTGTTGCTTGTTTGTTTTTCCCCTTACCATATCATGTAAAGAGAGAACATTATATTCAATATTTTTAAACATGCTAGGATTTCCATACCGCATTGACAATACTGTGTGTAACAAGCCCACGGAAATTTTCACTTGTATTATTATTATTACCTTAGCTGTTATTATTATTATTATCATTTCCATTTTATATGCTGAGTGTTTTTGACTTGTAAATATGGAAGATTTTCTGTGTGATTAATTTTTATTTATAATTTGAGGAAATTAGATGCAATATTGTATGATTAATGCTGAAAATTCCATTCTGTATCACAAGTACTGTTTTTGGAATAAAGTAAATTATTATTTAAATGAACTGTAGTCAAGATTTGACAGAATAGTTCTAAAATATTCGGGCGCCGAGTGAGAAGTAGACATTTGTAAACAATTTTTTATTTGTAAAATCTCAGCGATAGTGAAATGAGTAATTCCAACGTTTCCCACGTTCGGCAATCTGGTCCGAACTTCTTCAGGGAAATTAATCGAAGTTAACATAACAGAGGTTTATATATTCAAAAGGGACATCTGCAACAGAATGCGTATCCTAAATCCGTAGCTGTCCAGTCAACCGACAACTCCAATAAGTCGAATAAATCAGGTCAATTTTCAAAAAGAAGACAAAGTAATAACTTTGACAGGGTGTATTTCAACTAAACTCTAATCCTAAACACCCTAATTTTGAAAATATGTCTAATCAGAAACTTCTAGATACCAACAGACATGAAGGTGTGATCTTGTTAGCTGATGCATAGGAATTCCTGATTAATAAATAAGAATGGATATGTATGACTAACTAATAATATTTGGTCAAAGTTCCTGACTGTCTATATCTGCTTATGGAGACGTTAAGACATTGTTTGACAACTGTTTATCCGCACACATACACACTGTGTTTAAAGTGTTTAACAAAGGTAGATCAATATTTGTAAATCTGAGGTCAAATTTTGATCACAACTCATACAGTTTTTTGTTTATTATACTTGCGCCCACGCCGGCGCACACCTGATATTTATGGTCGGCCTGTAAAATTTGGGCTACCGATATCCATGCTGAAAATTCCATACTTGTACCGAAAATACAGTGTGGAATCAAGCTGTAAATCAAAAATCAAAAAAAAATCAAATTTATTTTTTATTTTATTTTTGATAACAGCTTGATTCCACACTGTATTTTCGGTACAAGTATGGAATTTTCAGCACGGATATCGGTAACCCAAATTTTGCAGGCCGACCATAGATATCAGATGCGTGCCGGGAGGGGATTGAACCTCAGACCATGTGCATGGTCGGCGAGAGTACTAACCACTGTGTCACCGACCTTCGGAAACAAACAAAATTATCAACAGATTGATGAGCGATGATATCAATTCAGCATATGATTGGACAAAGTTTTTAAAAACAAGAGATGTCCCCCTCTTTATATGTTAATTTCGATTAATTTCCCTGAAGAAGTTCGGACTAGATTGCCGAACGTGGGAAACGTTGGAATTACTCATTTCAATATCGCTGAGATTTTGTATATTATTATTATTAAATATCAATGAGAATGTAATGCCTTTCCTTTATTTCTTTTTCTAGCTCATAATCCTGTACAGTTATCTGAAGCCCTACGTCATCTCCTCTATGAATTACCTGAACAATCAGCTCATCCCCATCTCTGATTAGAATATTAAAAGAAATTGAACATTGAATGATTTATATTTCAAAATGAAAGAATACTCTACAAGAAGAACGCCTACATTCATATTTCATGACCTTTATTTTATTTTTTTCTTTGTATTTTTTTGCACTTATTTGTATTCTTTTGTAGTAGACATGTTGTATTGGTCAACTTTTCATATTGATGAATAAAATTTTGTGAAGTTGAAAGAAAAAAAAACAAGCAACTGAAGTGATTGGCTTTAGAAAAATGTATGAAAGGTATTTGTATTCATCGGGATGAAACACGAAAATAGTCTTAATTTCTTATTAACAAATTATCGATAGAGATATTTTGATGTGGTTGTGTTCTCTGAGCTAGCGGGATAGTTAATTTGTGAAGCTTTCATCACCCTACTCACTAGGTGACATCTTCAGCACGCATACTTCAATTTGAAGTGAAGTGAGCTTTTAGATTTCTACACGAGTTTATTAATCATCTCTCCTGGTCGGTGATTTTAGACGTGATTGGTTGTTTTTTGTGTGTGTGTGTGTTTTCACACCTTCTAGGCAGCTACTTGTATTGGAACTGATTGTTTCTTTGACTTGAACTTTGATCCTTTGTGTGTGTGTGTGTGAGGTTTCTTTCTTATCGGTTGATAAATTTTGTCTATCTCGATGTGTCTATTGATTGACGATTCACTGGAATACCAGGCAGGCTTCTAAAAATTCTCTGGCTAGCATTCTTGTTGTTTCCTCTGTCTAATATTTGAACGCTGGTTGTCCCAGTCGAATTGATGTCCGTGGTTGTCTGTATGCAGTGAGGTGATATGAAGGAGGGGATGTCATATCTTTTTACGACTAGCTTATGTTCGTGGATACGAAGACGACGGGGACGTCCACTTTGGCCAATGTGGTGTTTTTCACAGTTGTTACAATTTATTTTGTAGATGATGTTGGCTTTATCTTCTTTCGTTGTTGACTCTTTTGGTTGACATAGAACTGAGTGAAATGATTTTGTCGGTTTGTGTACGACGTCAATTCCTAAAGGTGTTTGAAGATTCTTGCAATGATTTCTGAGATATCCTTTATATATGGTAGGGTGATTTTTTTTGTGCTTTCCTTGGGGACTTTTGGTTTGATAGGTTGGCTTGGGGGGTAGATGTCTTTTGATGAAATTCCGTGGATATCCATTCTTTTGGAAGACGTCCATGAGATATTTTTCTTCAATTTTCCTTAAGATGGGAGTGCTGCAATGGGTCTCTGGCCTATTGAATAGTGTTTGTATGCAATTCCTTTTGTGTTTTATTGGATTGTTGCCGTTGTAATTCAGGATTTGGTCTGTGTGAGTTGATTTTCTATAAACTTGAGTATCTAATTCCCCTATGGTTGTTCGCTTGACTAAGACGTCCAAAAATAGGAATTGGTTCTCGGATTCCTCTTCTCTTGTGAATTTGATGTCGTTGAAGACATTGTTTATTAGGCTTTGTGAGTTTTATCTAATTCGTTTCTTTTGGTTATTACAAATGTGTCGTCGACGTAACGTATCCAAATCTTGGGTTAGATCTTTCGTAGAATTATGTTTTTGAGCCTTTGCATCACTGCTTCTGCAATCAGACGTGATTTTAGCGATCCCATGGGTGTTCCTTTGAATTGTTCATATATTTGGCCATTGAATTGGAAGTATGTTGTTAGGCATAGGTTTATGCATTCCATCCAGCTTGTGTGTTGCATTTTTGATTGTTGTGGAAGGTGTTCGTCGTTGCTAAATAATTGCTCCATGGTTTCTTTTGCTAGTTGCTGTCCAATTGAGGTATATAATGCTGTGAAGTCGAAAGATATCATTATTTCTTGTTCATCTATTTGGATGCCTCTGATTTTCTCTAGGAATTGGATAGCAAAGTTGATGGAGTGATCGCAAGATTCCGTTAGGTGTTTTAGTTTCCTGTATAATTGTTTGGATAAGAGATAAAAACGAATTGTTTCATATAGCCTGATGATAATAAAGAAATTTCACTGTGGATTATGTTTCGAACTGGTATTAGTTGAAAAACTATTGAAAACCAGGGTGTAGTACCACCGGCTGACGCATTCTTATGCCTCGCTTAGGCGGTAGGTAAGTTCAGTAGAGAGGTAAAGTCGGGAATGAGTGAGTGAGTGAGGCTAGCAGTCTCGCCACCTCTTAAGAACCACTGCTACTGAAACGTCAAAAGTCAAGCTTGAAACCCTGTGTTCCAATGTGCACTTTGGGATTCTAAGTTCTCTTTATTCACAGTGTATCACCGTCAGCATCGAATGCCGCTAGCGAGTATGTATACGCGAGCCCGACGTGATGGACTCCATTGGTCACGATTTCATATTAGACCTCCATTAATTTTATTTCAATCACTAAGAAACTGTGGGTTAGATTTTGAGTGTTGCGTTTTAAGCATTTGACTGGTATTCATCGAGATTTTGTCACAAATTGACATCAGCTAGAGAACTGTTGAAAACCAAAAAGCTCCTGAAGGGTACTTTGCACTAGTCTAAGGCTCTTCAGTAATGTATACCTCTACATACTCTTTAACATCGATTGGTTCTAATGGTCAACCACTGGAAATCGAATCTGTGGCATGTTGTACGGTCCTAAGTGTTTACTGGAATTTGATATGTCATTACACTTTTGACTGCATAAATACAAGTTTATTTTTTTATCTTTAATACTGTTAAATTCTTCATCAGAAATCTTATTGGTTAAGAGGAAAACAGAAGGAGTTCATGAATAACTGATTCACTCTTACTGCCATTAATAGTTCTACTACTTATGCTAATGGAAATAAATCTAAATATTTGAAAAGACCCCCCGACGAAATCAGAAGTCCTGAATACAATCAAGATGCTAAAAGCTGGAAAAGCAGCAGGACCAGATGGAATCCAAGCAGAAGCATTGAAAATGGACCCTGAGACAACAGCGGACTTGATGACGCCATTACTGGAGAAGGTGTGGAAAGAGGGCAAAGTACCCGAGGATTGGAAGAAAGGATACTTATTCAAACTACCAAAGAAAGGAGACTTAAGTCAATGTAAAAACTGGCGCGGAATTATGCTCCTGTCCATTCTAAGCAAAATACTAAGCTCCATCATCTTTAGAGAATCAAACACGCCATCCTGGATGAAAAACTTCGACCGGAACAGGCTGGATTCAGGAGAAACAAGTCATGTATTGATCAAATCGCCACACTACGGATCATCATTGAACAAAGCTTGGAATGGCAGTCAGTCACCTCTCTATCTCGCTCAACTTCATCGACTTCGAAAAGGCCTTCAATAGCGCAACGTCGATCGAGAGGTCATTTGGCAACTACTTCGCTACTACGGGGTGCCATCGACAATTATGCATCTCATCCGACAATTATACGACAATGCTGCATGCCAAGTAATCCACAACGGGAAACTTACGGAAGCCTTCAAAGTGAAGACGAGAGTGAGACAAGACTGTCTACTATCACCAATGATCTTCCTGATTGCAGTAGATTGGATAATGCGACAGACAGACAACGGGAAATGAGGAAACAGGCATAAAATGGACTCACAAAAAAAAACTTGGAGGATCTGGACTTCGCCGATGCGATATATGTCTGATTTCCCACAAACTGGAAGATATGCAAGTGAAAAGCAACAAGATGGCAGAAGAAGCATCCAGAGAAGATAGGACTTCAGGTGAACATATAGAAAACAGAGGTGATGAAGATTTCTAGGCAACAGCAACAGACAACAATCTGCAAAAATGGGAGGAACCTGAAAGAAACAACCTCCTTCACCTGCCTACCTGGGAAGCATCGTTTCAACTACAGGCGGAACTGACGAGGATATCAAAGCCAGAATCGGAAAAGCGAGACAAGCTTTCATTGCTCTCAAATCTGTGTGGAGGTCAACAACACTACTCAGCATGATGAATAGGATCCGGAATTTCAACTTGAATGTGAAGTCAGTGTTACTATACTGATCAGAGACTTGGCGCGTCATAAGGAGCACCTCAAACAAACTACAGACCATCAAAAACTGTATTCTCTCAAAACTACTCAAGATCGGATGGCCGGCTAGAAAAGATCAGCAACGGGGATCTCTGGCAATGAGCGAACCAACCCAGCAGGAACCGATTGTGCAATAAATAAGCAGGAAGAAATAGAGGTGGATTGGCCATACTCTGAGGAAACAAACCATCAAGTGAAATCACTAGACAAGCCATTGCTCGAGTGTTACCCGAAAGGGAAGCGGCGAGTTGGTCGTCAGCGCGAGGGTGACTTGGAGGAGGTCATGTGGAGAGGAGATGAAAGCATGTTGGCAGACTTGAAGCGGAGTGAAAAGTGTAGCAGAGAACCGAACGCAATGGAGACGCGTGGCTGAAGCCCTATGTTCCTCTAGGCATTAAAGGATATAATAATAATTTGAAAAGACAAATTTCTTGTGATTAGTAATTCCTCAAAATTACCAGCGTATGCCTATCGTCGCTCATCATCGGGTGCTAACCTTCCTCCCCATTAAGCTGAAGTTACACGGTCCACCTGTGGCACGCTATCGTATTGCTTTTGGTTGTTCCTGCATACCCTCTGATTAGCTTAGGAGACATCACAGCTCTGCATTTGTGATTCCAAAATATGTTTTATTGGACGATTAAATTATTTTTCTGGTTTGAAACCTCCTACCAGCTCTCAAGACATGCACAACAAGTACATTCGGGGGGAGGGCTGGAGTTTAGGTGTGTCTTGCGTAATCGTAAACATCCTTTATTTCCTAAAGATTTTCTTTTAAAAGAGTCTTCATCACATAAAAATAAAATCGTTATTTAAACAAAAGGATGATAATAATAATAAAAAATGCCTTTGATAATCTGGTGTATAAAGCGATATGTCACAAGTAAAGTTTATTTATTGCTGGTGTTGTTATGTAATCAGTCTCCTGAAGTATTATTATTAAATACTTTATCCGTATTATATTCCATAGTAAATACTAATGGATGATTGCATTTCACTTCAACAATTTCATCCACCAATCGATTCGATGTTGAAACAATACCATCGTTGAATGATAGAACTGTATTATCTAAGAAAATAAACAAGAGACGTGTTGTTTTTAAATTGTGTAAACATGAAAACAATAGAAAAAAATAGGTAATAATATTAAGAAACTCTTATTTTGATGAGGCATTGCAACACACCTCCATTTCATGCATGATTTCATCATGAGCTGACATCAGTTAGAGAACCACTGGAAAACAACGTGGGAGTACTGGACAGCCGTTTCCTCCTAGCTTGGGACTCTTCAGTAGTACGCATCCACACCGCGGGGTTCGAACCCAGAACCTACTGGTTATAAGGCGAGCTCGTAGACCATTGGGCTACTGGGACCTGGTCCAATGGTCCTTGAATTCTACCAATTCACGACATAGCGCGACCATTTCGCAAGGTTTCCTTCGATGAGTTACTGCCTCATCTTCAACCTGCTGTACCCTACTGGTCACGGCTTCTCACTAGAACCCCAGGTTAACTGCCTGAATAGGGTTAGTCACTAGTGAGCATCAGATTAATTTTCAAGTATTGGTTTTGTAGGGATTTTTCGTTTGATTGCATGCAGGATTTCATTATGAGCTGACATCAAGCTGGCAAGTACTGACCGGGCCCAACGTTGGTTAACTTCGGTGATCGAACGAGAACCGGTGCTTTCAGCGTGGTATGGTCGCCCACACCTCCATTTCACTGTGTTCTCTGCAGTCACTTCTTCTGGGATGGCTGCATGATTCCCCGGAAGCTTCAATCTTCTGCTCACATGATCTCCTCTTTGTCAACCTCTAAACTACGCCCAACTCGTGATTTTCTTTTCGGATCGTACTGGAGGCCCCATATGGTGTGTGACATTGCACAACAGTCTCTTTTCAGAGTATGTCCAGTCCATCTTCATTTATTTCTGCATATTTTCCGGGCAATAAGTTCTTTGTTGTTTCGTTGACAGAATTCATTATCACTGGTCTTTTCTAGCCAACCATTTGATATTTAGTACCTAGTGAATCATTGATGAAAGTCTGCAGTGGCGTGTTGGAAAAGTCTTTGACAACGTGTCAAATCTCTGAGTCATACAGAATTACTGACTTCACATTATTGTTGAAAATCTGAAGTTTGTGCAGAGTGCAGCAGACTTCTTAACTGAATTAAGCGTGATGAAGGCCTGCGTTGCCATTCCAACTACACTATCGATATCCGCATCTGTGCCGCCTGTAGATGAAACGATGCTGCCTGCCTAGACGAGTAAAAGAAATGACCTCTTTCAAATCTCTTCCCTTGATGGTGATTGGTGTTTGTTTTTTCTAGTTAGATATGTTCATCACCTCTGTCTCGCCTACACCCACGTGAAGTTTTGTTTTCAATGCTTCTTCTGCTAACTTTTTAGTTCTCGCCTGTAAGTCTTTGAGAGTTTATATGACATTTAACATAAATCATCTGCGAAGTTCAGATATTCCAGAGTCTTCTTTCCAGTTCGACGTATGCGTCTTCTGAATCTTCACCACGTCTGTTGTATAATCCGGAGTATCATAATCAGGATAACCATCGGTGATAGTAGGCAGTCTTGTCTTATTGCTGTCTTTGTTTCAAATGCTCCTCACCGCTTTTTTTTTACGAATCATCTGGCATGTTGTATCTTACATAAGTATAGCTATCTAGTGATCCTCATCAACCTGAAAGCAGTTTAGAAATCTTCTGCACTCTGAAGCCTTAACAACAAGATTCCAACAGACCACCGCAGAATTTTATCAACACCTGCCTTCGCTAGCTCCACACTGAAGATCACATGGCCGGCCGGCCAGAAAGAATCACCAGAAAGAAACTGTCAACAAACCAACCAAGAGCTGATCGCTCAACAAATATGTCTGTCTGTCTGTCTGTTTTCGACATAGAACTTTGCACAAATGTGCGGAAGTTCAAGTCGCCACATTCCGTGTAGCACGCGAAGCAAGAGAAGAAAGTACAAGAAAAGCATAATAGAAACAGTGAGCAGAGGTGTGAGACAAAGGAGTAATAAAGAAATACAAAACAGTTTCATTGAAGATCATAAGTCACAGGGAGTGGATGCATCTGCGCCACTGAAAACGATGAGTTTGAGCCATGTCACCAATTGTTTCCAACCATAGATTTTTACCGTCCCGAAAATTTTTCCTTCACGTTCCCAGTGGAACATAGGGCTCCAAGCTAGAGGCTTGAAGTTTCTATAGCAGTGTTTAGTTTTTACAGGATGGGGTTGCTAGCCCCATGCCCAACCTTTCCTCTTTACCAGGATTATTTCTGGTTTAGCGAGGTAAAGGAGTGCGTCGGCCGGGGATCGAACCCCGGACCATGTACATGGTCGGCGAGCGTCCTAACCGCTGTGCCACCGACGCACCAACAAATATGTAGGAGAAAATGGAGGTGGACTGGGCATACATTGAGGAGGCCGTCGAGTGACATCGTGTCCAATGCCAGGCCAACCCTCGAGTGGAAAGCGACGAATGGGTCGTCGGTGTGAAAGTGACATGGAGGAGGAGAAGATGAGAGGCTATGGGCAATCGTGGACCCAACTGAATAGGATGTCTAAAAAATAGAAAAAAAGTGGAGATTTGTTGTTGAAGCTCTATGTTCCACTCAGAACCCAAGGGAATAATAATAATAATAATAAATCTAATGACCTATCAACTTTACCAATACTATGGTGAATACGAAAAAAGAATTATTTAATATGGAATACATTACCTAAATTCCATTGAAGACCTTTAGTTGTCACTTGACAAGGTTGTCCTATTGGAATTAATCCCACATGTTCTGCTTCATATCCAGTATTAGCATATACAATATGTTCACCCTAATTCCAAAAAAAAAGCGAATTCATTTCATTATGAATTTATCAAATTGCTTACCTTATCCAATAAAAATGTAATTGAACATTCAGTTACTAGAAATAATGGAAGACGACTGGTGATGCTTTTTGTATCGTATAGCGTTTTAATTAATGCCATTTCATGGTCGAATCTTCCACCACTCATTTGTACAGCAGTAAGTATACCTACTTTTGTCTAAAAACAAAATGAAAGTGTTTTAAATTTCCAAATTTCCCCAGTATAACTTGCATTATTCTCTTCTATGTAACGGATAAGTATACGTAAACATTTTGTAAAATCTGTTTCATCTTGATCCGGTGTCTCTACAACTGTAACATTCTTCTATAACATAAAACTGAGATTTGTTAACGGCATAGAATGGCTTACTTGTGAACGATAAAACTGTAAGACTTCTGCCTCAATAGAGTCGAAATCACCAGTTACAAAGTTTGGTAAATAAGTATGCCTAAAATTTTGGTTATTGTACACTTGATTAGCAAATCCATCTACAAAAGCTATGGGATAAGCTTTAGAAAAGAAAAAAGAGCGATGATATGATCGATTAATCGATCGATTGTAAAGGCAGTTTACCTTTTCTCCACAGAATCTTAAAAAGATTCTCTGTTATATTCACTGGATGATTTAAGAAGATGACAGCTTTATTTATATCTGGAAATCAAAAATTATTAAAGAGATAAGTGAAATTGTCTTCTCAAGTTTTGTAAGGATTTTGTTTGATTGGTTGAAAGATTTCATCGTAAGCTGACATTAGTTAGAGAGAACCATTGGAAAACCAACTAGGAGTACTGGACAACTGTTTTGTCCTAGTTTGGCATGGGCATTGGAGGTGGTTACTTCGTACACAGTCTTCAACAGAAGTCTCTCTCTATGCAGTGACTAAAGGACCAGCTTCGCTATCACGACTTTTTGAGTCCCAAACTAGGATGAAACAGCTGTCTGGTACTCCCAGTTGGTTTTCCAATGGTTCTCTAACTAGTGTCAGCTCATGATGAAATTTTCCAATCGATCAAATTGTCTTCTGTTTTTCTTACCCTTTGCGAAAATCGATAAAGGTGTATATATCATTGAATATTGAATAAAGTAGTAAGTGTTTTGATTTTTTTTATAAAATATCTCCTCTGAAAAGTGAAGAGAAAAGTAAATTATGTTAGATATAAATCGCTTTAGGCTAATATACCAACAGACTAAAAGATACTAATGTTTACTAAAAGGCCACACATTCAAACTGATATTTGGATTTCAGATCATGCCATCTATTGTCTGTCTGTCTGCTTTCGACATAGAATTTCGCACATATGTGCGGCAGTTCAAGTCACCACACTCCATGTAGCACACAAAAAGCAAGAGAAGAAAGTAGAAGAAATGCATATTAGAGAGAGTAAACAGAGGTGTGAGACAAAGGAATAGTAATAACAAAGGACAACAGAGTTTCACTGGAAATCGTAAGTCACAAGGAGTGGATGCATCTTCGCTAACCATTGAGAACGATTTTGAGCCATATCACCAATTGTTTCCAGCCATCGGGTTTTACCGTCCCGAGGGTCCCAGCCAGGAAGTCCGCACCTTCTTACGTGACTGGCTGGCATTAACTGTTGTGGATTTCATTGACTGGTGCCATGTTTTGGTTTGACCTCCACTAGCTCTTTTCCAGCCTGATACTATATCAGCTAACATTGCGCGTCGAGGAAGGCGATGACTAGACATACGTAACACATGTCCTAACCATCTCAGTCGATGTAATTTCACAGCCTCGTCGATTGATTTCTCCACCTTACCTAGAACTCGACGCCTAACTTCAATATTGCTCACCTTATTATACCACTTCACACGGGAGACAGAACGTAGGCACCTATGATCAAAAACAGCTAGCCAGGCTTTTCATATCTTTCACTCTCAATGGCCAGGTCTCACTGACAACCATAAAGGAGGACGGAGCGGATTGATGAGCAGTACACCCGCCCTTTGGTCGATAGCCAGTCGGATATCATGTCTACGCCAGAGACGGCGTAAAATGGCATATGCGAAACTAGCCCTCTGTATCCGTACTGAGATTTCGTCAGAGATCAACCCGTTGAGGCTGATGGTACTTCCCAAGTAGGTGTAGCGGTCAACGTGCTCTACCACTTCACCTAATGACAGTAAAAATAGGATTGGTGAAATGTTTAAGTAACATGGCACTAAAACTAAATAATACCAAAGAGAAGTTTTAAAACCTAATAATTACCCCGATAAATTAATCAGGAAGTGTGTACGAAAATGTAAAAATAGAATTAATAATAATGACAGTAATAGTTATAATAATAATATTAGTGACGACATGCATGACAAACATGCACAGGACAATGACATCACCAGCATTAGGGTATATATATCATCAGTAGTACTTCTGTACAAAGTAGGAACCTTGGAAACTTTATGTAGAATTTCTCACAATGCGGGAACAAAAGTAGCATTCAATTACCCACAAGCTCAATTAAAAAGAAGCTTTGTCGGTTATAGGACCAGTCCTGTATGGCCATTTAAACAAAGCAATTTAGCTTATCTAATACCCTTCAGAGATTATCAAATCAAATGAATGGGTCAAAGTAGTAAAACCGGTCCAGTTAGACTAGCAGAGCATAAAAACTTTGCGAAATCTAGATTAGTTGACCCTGATAAGATAAGAAATCGGGAAAATACTTCAACCGTTGCACTCACTACATTCGTCTGCTATTCAAACACTAAAATTGATGAGAATGGTAAATAACGTAGTTAGTAATATTCTGGGCTATATTCAGATGAGAAAATCAATCGGTGTGTGTTTAATTGTCAAACGAAAGTGAGAATAAACAGTAGGAAATACGTGACTGGTTTACAGAAAAACCTAAAAGCTTAACAAGACATTATTTTCAGAATCAGTCATAAGCTTTACATAATTGTTAACAGTCAACTGTTTTTTGACCTAATAATGTCTCTTTGTCTAAAAGAACAGTCTGAATCAGTTGTTGAATTCCTTCGGTGTTCTTTTTTTTCCTAATTTGCTGTAAAATTCTGACTAGTGTCAAACACTGTAGATCTTATAAACTGTTGAACACCTCATTGTATTTCGTGAAGTAAACATCCTTTTTGTAGTGTCCTGGAAGAATAACACAATAAAACAGACCGAGTTTGTCTTCACGGACTACTTCAAATAAAAAAGATATTTTGGCTAAGATTTACTACATACATGTTAATGAATCCAATAACAAAATGGCTTAGAATATTCTCCCCACTGTCAGCCATTTTTTACAGATGTTAAATATGACTAATGGACAGTGTCTGATAGCAGTACATTTCAGCCAAAAAGGTCCATGCATACGACTTTCGATGAGGCTTATATCGCTACAATTCCGTGAAAATCTGCAAATACACTAACAATGTACCTCATACATCTACAAGACATCATACTTATCACAATGATGGCAAGAACTGTGGCTATCTATTCGATCGACAAATCTGTAGGTGTATGAAATGTAATATTCTTCATTCGCACTGAGATAAAAGTGGTACTGTTTTTAGGACGGATGACGTAGTAACTCATATCACTTATATATATATATATATATATATATATATATATATATATATATATTGTCTACAATTTCATAAAGTCATGGTCATCTACTAGTTTGCACGGGTAATGACTAATACTAGGAAATTATTAATCCGTCTTTTATTCATTTCCTCTTGACAAAGATACCTGCACCTATCAACTTCTATATAGATGAAATTGTTTAGATCAGTAGTTGCCATGGTGAACCAATTTGGATGTGTATTGACAGTCACATAGTTATCAACTAAATCACTGTAAAATCCTGCTTTTCTCGACTGAGAATGCAGCAGACCATCAAACAGCAGAGTTACGAAAAAGTTTTAAAGATGAATGACAACAATCTAGAAGCCTACAAGGTATAATTATACCTTGTAGGCTTCTAGATACTTGTTCAACTTAAGTTGAACAAGTGTCATAAGTTACATTAGTTCTCTACTGTTACATAGTGCGTCGGTGGCACAGCAGTAGAGCGCTCGCTAAGAAGAAAGTGTAACCTGCCTCAAAGAGTCTGTATTGCACTCAAACTGAATGGTATTTGGGGTTTTTGCTAATTGGAGAACTGAAATATCTTACCAGTGTATAGTAATCAGCTAAAATTTATTTAAAGGGATTGATTGAGGTGACAAATCCTTCAAATACTTCGTTCCACAGGTTTGCTGAGCTACACATATAAGTATGGCAATGAAACTTCAAGCATCATAACAATCCACACGATATCACCTGTTGCTCTGTGGACGCGTATGCTTCTCAAATGACCTTCAAATTTTCAATATCCAATATCGACCTTACGAGGTCTGAAATTATTTTCATGTGGTTTCGTTCTCTGAGATGGATGGTTCGTTTGCGAAGCTTTCATCACCCTACTAAGCGACATCTTCAGTGCATACTTCAATTTGAAAGAAGTGAGCTTTTAGATTTCTACACGAGTTTATTAATCATCTCTCCTGGTCGGTGATTTTGGACGTGATTGGTTGTTTTTTGTGTGTGTGTGTGTTTTCACACCTTCTAGGCAGCTACCTGTATTGTAACTGCTTGTTTCTTTGACTTGAACTTTGACCCTTTGTGTGTGAAGTTTCTTATTGGTTGATAGATTTTGTCTATCTCGATGTGTCTATTGATTGATGATTCACTGGAATGCCAAGCTTCCAAAAATTCTCTAGCATTCTTGTTATTTCCTTTGTCTAATATCTGAACATTGTCCCAGTCGAATTGATGTCCGTGGTTGTCTATATGCAGCAAGTGATATGAGGGAGTGGATATCATGTCTTTTGACGGCTAGCTTATGATCGTGGATACGAAGACGAAGAACAGGGACGTCCATTTGGCCAATGTGGTGTTTTTCACAGTTGTTACAATTTATTTTGTAGATGATGTTGGCTTTATCTTCTTTCGTTGTTGAGTCTTTTGGTTGACATAGAACTGAGTGAAGTGATATTGTTGGTTTGTGTTCGACGTCGATTCCTAAAAGTTTGAAGAGTCTTGCAGTGATATCTGAGATATCCTTTATATATGGTAAGGCGACTTTCTTTGTGCTTTCCTTGGTGACTTTTGCTTTGGCAGGTTGGCTTGGGGGTATATGTCTCTTGATAAAATTCCGTGGATATCCATTCTTTTGGAAGACGTCCATGAGATACCTTTTGACGACTAGCTTATGTTCGTGGATACGAGGGCTGAAATTATCCAGCATGCTCAAAGTCATCGACGGAGTGAGACGCTCAAATGTCATTTTCGTCCATATTAGTCGGCCATGTTGGATTGCTGCTCGTTTACACATCATTTTTCCCGTTAATCCTGCATTTATTCACAACATCTCTTGATGCGCATTGTTCACAAATGTTGTGTTTCACCTAATTTCGTTTCCGTTGCCGTCAAAATTACTGATTTCGTATGTTTCGGAAGTGTTTACCACCAGGGCAGTGCATTCATTCCATTACAATTGTTTCACACGCTGTTTTCATGCCTGGTTGCAATGTTTTAGTTGTTTTTCAGCTACTAATGAAGTTGTTCTGCATGGAAGTTTAGTAAAATATTCACGTGAACGTGTTAAGCTGACAAAAGCCGTTGTTTTAGTCCATTTGCTGGTTTCCGTTATTGTTTCTTGCTCAACTGATTAATTGGTATATAGAAATCTGGAAAAGCAATGTCTTTCACATGCATGTTCACAGCTTGCAACAATCTGCGAGTAAATCTGGTGAGGATAATACGATCAGGTTTGATATTGGCAAGGTTTACGAAGGGCATAATAAACCTGGAGATTCCAGAACGCGGCTTGAAATTGAAAAAGCTTTGAAGCTTTCCGGGAAGCTGAGTATACCAAAAGTGTATACTATAAGTTAAAGAATCAGATATATTGTCAAAGAATCTATATCAAACAAGGCTGAGTCACATGAGAAGTATCAATCTGTTGTGCCTTTAATTAGCGAGGATAACATTCAGGTTGTGGTCTACAACAAGCTGAGAAGCTGATTATTATTCGGGGTGAAAACATTGGCTG